TATAAATATATTATTAGTAACTCAATTATCGGTACATGTTCAATCACTAGAACATTTACCTTATCTAAGAAAATATTTAAAACAAATTCAGTAAATAAAAATTATAATTTTTTTCTAAGAAAAAAATATTAAAATATTAAAATTCATTAAATGAGTTTTCTCTGAAATTAATTATAATTTTATAAAACATAATTCAAGGATAAAGCACATATAATCTTATATTTTCTATTATAATTATATATCTGATCAATTATAATTGTTATCTTTCATTAAAATATAAATTTTATATTGACATACCACTACTTGTTCTGGTGTCCATGTGTCCAAATTAACAGATTTGACTTTGCTTATGTGAACCCCAAGATTTCTATGTATGCCAGCACATCGAATGCATAAGAAAATTCCCAGATTCCAACTAGCCCATCTTGGTCCTGTCAAAGACAACTTATTATTAAATTACACAATTCTAGAAATTTAATACAAATGTAATGATAAAAGAAATAACTAAGAAACAACAACAGTACTCTATTTTTATTATTATATTGTCACTATTTATATATTATATTTATATATATTTTTATTATTATATATATTGCCACTATTTATATATCCACCATTAATTATAAACTTTTATAAACTGATTAGAACAGTTTGTTAAGAAATGGTTATATGACGTTTACAGGATTTTCAGGGAGAATCCTAAAGATTGTAAAGCTAAAGGCATTCGGGAAAATATGATGACGTTAAGCGTCAAGTGACAGCATATCCACTGACAGCAGAAATTAAAAATCCATAATGCCTAGGCGCATTGTAAAACTAGGTCGTTTGGTTTCTTGTGATCAATATCGATTATGATTGATTTCGAAATTAATTGGTAAACTCGAACGAATGCTAAACACAAATACGAAGCATTCGGTCGAGAAATAGACTGCACCAAGAGAAGGAGAATGCGGAAGAAGCCACCCATCGAGAGGAATACTTGTGTCGTGTCGGACGAACCTTTCGCGTCACAATCGACGCAGTACTTGTTGTCTTCATCACGAAGCATTTCCGTCAATAAATTCTGACATTTATCTTGGATCTGCTTAGCGCGCTCCTTTTCGAGACGGGATGTCATTTTCACAATGCGTCCTTACTAGCACGACCGCGCGCGTTTCTAAAACAGTATCGGCTCGACTAACTAGACAACATATGCTGGACGATAATCGCCCAGGATTAAAGCGATGCAATGGCGGCAATGACTACTGTGACTTGAGGACGACTATGGCGAGAACGCCCCCAGTAAGATTCGTATGTACTTAACCGAAAAAAATTGCCGGTTGGAAAATTATCCTTTTAAATCGTTTGTATTTCATATGAAGAGTTTTGAAGTGCAATTGAAAAGGTTTGTGAGTCGTTCTATTAATTGTAATTAATTGTTTATTTTTGGACCATGCATTTAGCCGAAATAATGGCCGGAGGTAAATTAAACAAAGTTCCAATATGGTATCGTTTGTATTTCATATAAAGAATTATGAAGTATCATTAAAAAGGTTTGTGAGTCATCCAGATAATTTTAATTAAATATTAAAAAATCGTGTAATTGGCCGAAATATAGATCGAGTTTTTTAATTCATCGATGGATCCATCGCATAATGTGCAAATGCAGCGTTTTGCTGTATTTACGCATCATGCGATGGATCCATCGACGAATTAAAAAACTCGCCCATAGATTTCAAGCGCTGCTGTGGAAGTACCGTCAACCATGATCGGTAATCTCTAGTATTTCAATACTCCTGGTTCTTTTTCGATCGTATCAACCTGGTAATGGCTTGGTTTACATCATGCACTTGATACGCGTACTAAATAGTAACTTTCTATTAGATAATCTTAATATCGACGATATATATAAACAACGGTATATTAAGCTGGTATAATACTCATCAACAAAACGTATTGTATTGATTTAATACGTCGCCGTTGATATGCATTGTCGATATTAAGATTATCTAATAGAAAGTTACTATTTAGTACGCGTATCAAGTGCACGATGTAAACCAAGCCATTACCAGGTTGATACGATCGAAAAAGAACCAGGAGTATTGAAATACTAGAGATTACCGATCATGGTTGACGGTACTTCCACAGCAGCGCTTGAAATCTATGGGCGAGTTTTTTAATTCGTCGATGGATCCATCGCATGATGCGTAAATACAGCAA